ATCCCCTGGAGGAGGGCATGGCAACCAACTCCATGGAGCATCCCATGCACAGAGGAGCCTGGTGGGCTACAGCCCACAGGGTCGCAAAGAGTCAGACACGACTGAGGCGTCCTAGCACACACACGCGCACTGAGTACTTACCACGTGCCAGTCACCGCCTCATGTAATACTCACGACAACCTCCCCAGAGATGAGTAATACAGTTGCTCTCAGTTCTTAGACGAAGAAACTGTTCAGAGAGGATAAGTAACTTGCTCAAAGTGACCCAGCTCCTAAGGGACAGAGTGGGGACCTGAATCCAGTACTCTGCCTCCTGAGACTGCATAATTTAGCACTCCCTTTTCCACCTTGCTAAGCTACTTCAGGAACGTCTAACTGGCCAGTATCCATTTCTACATCTTCCCACTCCTTTAGCTGGGCGTTGGTGGCCAAAAAAAAAGAGAATACTTTAGCTCACTGTTGCAACTTTAAGGTAGCTAGAGAATTGATCAACACCTAGGCTATAATAATACTGATAACAGCAACATTTGGCATTCGCCCACTGCTCTGTGCTTTTAATGATTTCCCTGGGGAAAGTGAACATTAAAGTATTTCCATTCCTCCAATTTTTTTCCTGATTTTTTTTTAATCAGTGCTTCTAAAGCTATGTCTTTACAGTTATGATCAATGAATAAGAATACTTTGGGGATTCCCTTTTGGTCCAGTGGTTAGGACTCCACACTTCCATTGCCCAGGGCACAGATTTGACCCCTAGTGGGGCTTCCCTGGCGGTTCAGACGGTAAACAATCTGCCTGCAATGCGGGAGACCTGGGTTCAATCCCTGGGTTGGGAAGATCTGGAGGAGGGCATGGCAACCCACTCCAGTATTCTTGCCTGGAGAATCCCCATGAACAGAGAAGCCTGGCGGGCTACAGTCCATGGGGTCGCAAAGAGTCGGACACGACTGAGCGACTCAGCCCAGCACAGAGAATTAGGATCCCACAAGCTGAGTTGGTGGCCAAAAAAAAGAGAATACTTTCATGTTCTGGCTTTTATGTCACAGTCTGCCTATACGCATGTTTACATATATGAACACAGTAACTGCTTACACTGCCTTACCATAGATGTTGCTCTATCAAGGGAGCGGAGCGTTGGGATGTGACACAGATGTGTGAGTGTGACCCCGTCTCTGCAAATATCCAACTCTGCGACATTCAGTAAACCATGTAATCTTTCTCAGTTTTAGTTTTCTCATCCATAAATAGAGAAAATAGTACTTATCTCATAGAGTATCACCCAGGGTTTTGAAATGAGGTGTGTCTAGCTCAGAGCTGAGACTCAAAGAATCCTTGGTAGTGGTGTCAGTATTCTGTGCTTACGTGTCTTTCTCCCAAGCAACCGTGTACTCCTGGTGGGCAGGGACTTATTTCTGTAACTGCTCCCACCCAGCCCATTACCTGGCACTTGGGCTCCATAAAAGTTTGTTGAATGAAGAGTTACTAAGCCCTAACCTAGCCTTTTCTGTTGGACATCTGGGCTGTTTCTAGAGCTTTCACTGTTAACAAACTATACTTCAAAGCCCCTCTGTTTACATTGCCTCATTCAATCTGCACACCGTGTGAAGTAGGTGGAAAGAGGCTATTTGCACAAATCCATGTCCCGTGAAAGATGGAACAACGGTGGCTGGCTGAAATGATTCCTGTGGGTCACATCGCAAATCAGTGACAAAGGTTAGAACCCCTGACCCTACCTCCCTTCCTTGGGTGGATCTCTTTTCTTTCTGACTACCTACTTCTGGATCAGAGTGGCCTCTCCAAAAATGAAGACTCTGATGGCGGGCCTGGCCAAGAGCCTGACTTGAACCCAGGAGACTGCCTCATGAAATCATATTACTCAGCACCGCCTTTCCCATCTTGCCAGGCCATTCCAGGAACTTCAAACCTTCCAGCACCCAGAAGCCCGACTGGAGGTGAATCCCCAGGAAACCAAATGCCTAATTCCCAAACACATCAGGGCTTGTATTTTCTCAGAGCAGGGAGCTTCTTAGGAAAGAGCCAGCATGCCAGCTTTTCTTCTTTTTTTTTTTTTTCTGAGGGGGTGAGGAGGCAAGCATTGAGTTNTTTTTTTCTTTTTTTTTTTTTTCTGAGGGGGTGAGGAGGCAAGCATTGAGTTGTCCAGGAGGAGGGACTTTGGCTAAAAATAGCTGTGGCGTGTGGATCAGCCTCTAGTGGTACCCAGGACTGGGGAGGGGAGGGGGATGCTCTAGAGCTGTCGCCAGGCTGGTTGCTGTGGAAACAGGAGAGGAGCAGGGGAGCCTGGGAAGTGGGGATGACACAGATAGCAAGTCCTAGCCAGAGCTGCCGCTACATTTAGGAGAAACAGCAGTGCTTGCGGCTCCCACCCTCCAAGGGTGCTTGGGGTGAGGGGGAGGCGGTGTCAGGGGCATGGACGCTACCCCCCAGGGGTCTCTGCTGCCGGCTACTCTCCTCTCCACACGCTGTGAGTTGAGTTGCGGGGGACTTGGGTTTGGGCCCCTATTTCCAAGGCAAGTGGGGATTTGGGAAAAGCTGGTTCCTGAGGGAGTTTTCATCAGATCCCCTTCCAAAAAATAAGCCCCCTTGCAGGCCAGCACTCTCAAGTGGGAGAAAGGGAGATTCAGCAGAAGGCAGCACTGGGGTCTTCTGAAAAGGGGACACAGCATGTACATGAAATAAAGAGGAACAGGCTGGAGGAACAGGACTCTCTGGAGGGAAGCTGCAGAAATTGAGTCTTTACTCCTGGGATGGAGGCAACCATTTCACACCTTTCTTGCCCCATTGAGAAAAATGCAGCCCCCACTTAAGGGAGATAGGAGACAGAGCACAATCAAAGTGAGGCTCATCTAGATCCCCAGGGCAATGGAGGGTGAGAGAGTTCTGAGGACTGTCAGACTCTGGGGTTTCTTTCTCACACCTGGGCAGAGAAATCTGCCTAAGCAGGCAGATTGGGGGTCAGATGACCTAAGACCTTGAGAGAACATCTGAAAGCCCACCTGGATGGAAGCTGGAATAAGTGGGCTCAGGTACTTTTCTGCAGGACCTGTGATCTCTAAGCCAATCAGTGCTTGGAGATCACTTCTCAAGGATATCCTGGGCTGCAGGGAGAGAAAGGGACACTCACCACTGGGGGAGCGGAAGACCCTAACCTGCCATTGCACTGGGACTCCTGGACGTGTCCCCGATTCCTCCTGAAAAAAAATATAGGGGATGCCCCCAAGCTCCAAGCCATCTTGTTTTGGTTTTCCCTCCTGCCCTCTACCCCAGCAACACACACAAACCACACATAAACCCACACACACCCACACACACTCACAACCTCCAAAGATCTACAGAACACCTCACTCCAGAACTTAAATTCAAGAGTGCTGGGTTTGGAGTTACATATCCAGGCAGTTTCTCCCCAGGACCTGGTCAAATGTCCAGACCATCTGTGGTCCTTATGTCACACTCTTCCCGTTCACCACTCTACTACAACCAGTCCAGGATTCCTTGAGTGGGAGAAGAGGATGATTCCCAGGAAGAAGGGAAGGTTGAAAAGCCTTGAATCTTTATTCTTAACATTTCCTCATATGGGTCATACCCCCTAGAGGTCCCTAGATGGCTATGGAAGGGCTCTGGGTCTCTCTCTCTCAGGGCAGACTGCAGTCCAGAGAGCTGCTCACAGGGAAGAATTTAAAGCAAAATCAGGTAGGCTTCTCTTGGAATGTGAGATCTGGGACATATGGAGGGGGGCTGTTGTGAGGATAGTAGAGGGAGGTGGGAGGCTGGGGTGGGGAGAGAAGTGAAGGGAGGAGAGAGGTAAATGTGGGTGCTTCGATCACTTATCTGAGTTAACGGCTCATCAAGAGCAGGTTGCTAGAGGCTTACAAGCCTAACCTTGATGAACTTTGTGCTTCTTTTACCTCGGCTGTCCGTGTTGATCTCACACCCTCCGACCCTCCTGCCCATTTGCAGGCTGTCTCCACTGTGGAAATAACCCAGGGGAAATGGGGCTAACACTACAGCTGCAATGACCAGCGTCAGTGCTCAGGGAGAATTCTCAGTGGGAATTTCCTAAGGTGGGAATGTTCAACCTTTGCCCACTGGAGATCTTTCACTTGCTTTCCACCACTTTCATTTCTCCTTTGTAAGCTTCTTGAGAGGAAGAAGATGTGTGGGGAGGGGGGGGTGGTGGGTAGAGTAAGCAAGGTCCAAGGAGGGAGGAATGGGCAAGACTTTCTGTGTCTGTCTCCTGGTGAATGGTAAAAGAACCTGTTTAGCTGCCAGGCTGAAGGCGGAGATGAGGGATAAGGGGACTGCCTGAATTTAGCCTGGGTGGGGTGGAAGTGGGAGGCCTTTGGGCAGGGAGGGCTCTGCACTGGAGAGGAAGATGAACCACCTGCTTTCAAGAAGCTCACAGTGTACAGATCTCAGGAAACTCCCTCCTTGCCCAGGGCTTTTTGCCTGGGAGTGGCCGTGAGGTGCTGTACAGACCAGCTAGAGGCAGTGGAACCAAGATCTCTGTTACCACGCCTCACCCTTTCCCTCTAAAATAATCAGTCGTGCAGATGTGTACGGATCTCAGGAAACTCCCTCCTTGCCCAGGGCTTTTTGCCTGGGAGTGGCCGTGAGGTGCTGTACAGACCAGCTAGAGGCAGTGGAACCAAGATCTCTGTTACCACGCCTCACCCTTTCCCTCTAAAATAATCAGTCGTGCAGAGTGTGATCCAGTTCATACACCCTATCCCACCGGATCCTCACGAGTTTGTAGCTGCGGGTGGGGCCAGCGAGGGCTGTGTGTATCGATCGTTCCCATTCTACCGATGCGGCCAGCCGAGGCTAAGAGGCAGCAAGGGGCTCGCAAGGGGGCCCCCCCGGCCCCTGCGCGCAGGCCCGGACGTCTCGGTCTCTCCGGCGGGGTCGGCTAATACGGCCCACCTCTCAGCCCCTCCAGGCCCCGCGCCGCCGCCCGGGCCGTGACCTCGCCGCCCGCGGCCGCGATCATGGCGCAGGAGAACGCCGCCTTCTCGCCGGGCCCGGAGGAGCCGCCGCGGCGCCGCGGCCGCCAGCGCTACGTGGAAAAGGACGGGCGCTGCAACGTGCAGCACGGCAACGTGCGCGAGACGTACCGCTACCTGACCGACCTGTTCACCACGCTCGTGGACCTGCAGTGGCGCCTGAGCCTGCTCTTCTTCGTGCTGGCCTACGCGCTCACCTGGCTCTTCTTCGGCGCCATCTGGTGGCTGATCGCCTACGGCCGCGGCGACCTAGAGCACCTGGAGGACACGGCGTGGACCCCGTGCGTCAACAACCTCAACGGCTTCGTGGCCGCCTTCCTCTTCTCCATCGAGACGGAGACCACCATCGGCTACGGGCACCGCGTCATCACCGACCAGTGCCCCGAGGGCATCGTGCTGCTGCTGCTGCAGGCCATCCTGGGCTCCATGGTGAACGCCTTCATGGTGGGCTGCATGTTCGTCAAGATCTCGCAGCCCAACAAGCGCGCCGCCACGCTCGTCTTCTCCTCGCACGCCGTGGTGTCGCTGCGCGACGGGCGCCTCTGCCTCATGTTCCGGGTGGGCGACCTGCGGTCATCGCACATCGTCGAGGCCTCCATCCGCGCCAAGCTCATCCGCTCGCGCCAGACGCTGGAGGGCGAGTTCATCCCGCTGCACCAGACCGACCTCAGCGTGGGCTTCGACACGGGCGACGACCGCCTCTTCCTCGTCTCGCCTCTTGTCATCAGCCACGAGATCGACGCCGCCAGTCCCTTCTGGGAGGCGTCGCGCCGCGCCCTCGAGAGGGACGACTTTGAGATCGTGGTCATCCTCGAGGGCATGGTGGAAGCCACGGGTGCGCGCGGGCCCGAGGAGGAGGAGCAGGGGAGGGGAGAGGGTGGGCGGGGAACTGAAGGGAGAGGAGCCAGGGCGACGAAGCAGGGAGCGAGGAGGGATGGAGGGACTGGTAGAGAATGGATGGAGAGGCTGGTAGAGGACGAGAGAGGCTGAGGTGAGATTCGGGACCTGGGTTGGGAGAGGTGTGTGAACAGAGTGATCCTCGAGAGAAGAGAAAAAGCAGGAATTCTCCGAAGTAGCCCTGTCAGGGGCCCTGGCTGAGAGGTGCAAATAGCGGGATAGGGGAGAGTAACGACAGTAGCCAAGCCAGTGCTTACTCCACGCCCTGCACGGTTCCAGAGCACTTTACCCCTCTGAGCTCATTTAATCCAAGCCCCATGAAGGAGCCCGCTGAGGTTATTTCTCATTTTTGTGCTCATTTTTCAGGGAGCAGGATGCCCCAGGGAGAAGTTAAGTTGTCCACAGTCCCAGGCTAAGTAAGCAGTGGATGCGGGCAGTCTGGCTTCAGTGTTTAGGGTGCAGAGTAGGAAGGGAGATTTAGGTTTGCAATCTTTCTCCATACTGAGAGGTCCAGGCTTCTGGAATTTGATGGTGAAGGTTTTCCATGACCTGAGTTATCCCTAGTGTGGATCTTAAGGAGAGGTTGATAGCTGCTCCCAGCTCTACCTGGGTTTCCCAATCCATCAAACGACTCAGTCTCCACTGACAAAGGAAACAGACGACCTGAACATTTCGAGCCCCTTTCCAGAAGGAATTGGCAATGTACCTGTAATGTCAGAACTTTCAACTCAGGCCTACACAGTGAAACGTTTGGGAGCAGGTAGGACAAGAGCAGTGTAGCAGGACCAGCAAATGAGTCCTTTGATACTTGAGATCTAGAAGAGGGGAAGGGTCTTCCCTGGCAGTTCGGCGGTTAAGACTGAGCTGCCAATGCAGGAGGTGGGGGCTCGATCCCTGGTCTGGGAACTAGGATCCTGTGTGCTTTGGTGGGGCCCAAAGCATTTTTTTTTTTAATGGGGATAGAAATGGGAGGAGAAGACTGCAAGTGGATAACCAGGGCCCACCAGGTGGCCCTGTGGCTCCTGCCTGTGTTGTCCACTCCTGGCTTATCCTAGGTTGGTGCCAGCAAACACGCTTCACGCTGAGCCTGAACCACTGTCTGCCTGTCTTCCTCACTCCTTCCCCCACACCGTACCCCCACCCCCGTTCCTTTCCCTCCACCACTCACCCTGCTTCCTTTCCTCTCATCTCACCAGCTGGTACCTGGGAAATCCCTGCCCAACCCTCTTCTCATGTACCGCCAGCCTCTCACCCTCTTCCTGGAACCCCCTCTCTCCAGGGTCACTTTTGCTTCCTCTTCCCCTCCTCTCCTGGACATTTCCTATGCCAGCCAAAGCAACAGAGAATACCAATGTCCCCAGACCAGCTCAAGGCAGGGCTTTCAGTGTTAAGAGCCAGTCTCTGGTTAGCTAATGTTCACTCTTCTGTTCCCCTTTGTTTGAAGGTAGATATGAACTGAGGAGGGTGTGAGAGACCCCGAGTAGAAGGAGAAGCATTTGCCCCAGTGACTGTGCCCACCCCACAGGGAAAACAGGCCACACGGCCATGGCAAGGAGTACAGGGGAGGGGGAGGGGGAGGAGAGAGGGAGGGGAGCTTGTCGGAATTTTCTAGGGAGACAAGGTTGGAAAGGATGGTAATATTTTGGGTGAGACAGTCAGCATCCAAAATGCTTCTGAAAAGCAAGTATAATGAGCCAAAAACCCAACAAGATGACATTTAAAAGGAATAAATATAAAGTTCTAGATTTAGGCTTTAAAAAAATCACTTATGTAAGCACAGCATGGAAGAGCTCTGGTGAAAAAAGAACTGGGGGTTTTAGTTGGCCACAGGCAATGTGACACAGCTTCCCAAAATGTTTATATAATGTAATCTTGGGCCCTATTAGCTATAGAATCATGAGCAGAAGGAGAGGCAATGAGCCCTCTCTTATGCATGCATCAGGCCACAGTTGGAGTATTTATCACACTCAAAGTGCTTAAAGCATCCTCCTTGGCCATTCTAGTTTGCAGTCAAGAAAGTAAAATTTTTGGAAGCCAGGTCACAGGAATGGTGAAGGGAGACAGATATTCAGTCTGAAAGAGAGAAGACATGAAACCTGAGACTTCTGCTTCCAGTTACTTGAAGGGGTGTCATAAAGCAGAGGAATGAAACTAAGGGAAGCTGATTTGGGCTCTGTATAAAGAACAACTCAAAAATTAGAGCTATTTCACAAAAGAGGGGAGTCCTTGAGAGGTGGTGAGGTCTTAATCCTAGGAGGTAATCAAGTGCAAGCTAAATGCACATTATTGGGAATGTTCCAGTGGGGTACCCTGTATGGAGAGGCAAGTTGGACTAGATGATCCCCAAGATCAGTCTCAAGGCTAAGCTTCTCTGATTGGCATCTCCGATGGAGGGGAAGGGAGAATTTGGGCCAGAGATAAAGCGGGGAGGAGGGGAAGTACAAGAACTGGGAAGAAAGAGAAAGTAGACTGGATTAAAGGGGGTTGCAGGCCCTTGAGGAGGGCTACAGGGAAGAGTTGTAGGAATAGGGTTGTGTAATGATACAGGAGAGGTAAGGCTGGAGCTGGGATCTCCTTGACCTATGCCCCTCCCCCCAGGAATGACATGCCAAGCTCGGAGCTCCTACCTGGTGGATGAGGTGCTATGGGGCCACCGCTTCACCTCCGTGCTCACCCTGGAGGATGGCTTCTACGAAGTAGACTATGCCAGCTTCCACGAGACCTTTGAGGTGCCCACACCTTCCTGCAGCGCCCGGGAGCTGGCCGAGGCCGCAGCCCGACTGGACGCCCATCTCTACTGGTCCATCCCCAGCCGGCTGGACGAGAAGGTGGAGGAGGAGGGGGCTGGAGAAGGGGCGGAAGAGGGGGCTGGAGAGGAGGCGGGAGAGGGGACGGGCGAAGGGGCTGGGGTTGACAAAGAGCAGAATGGCTGCCTGCCACCCCCAGAGAGTGAGTCCAAGGTATGACCAGATTCCTCCAGACCCCTGTGGCAGGGCCAGACACAGGTACCTGGGGAGCTGAGTATCGCAGGTGGAGAAGGAGTCCGGCAAGGTCCCTATGAATGCACCAAAGCTGGAGAGCCGCCTCAGAATCTCAGGTCTGGAATCCAACTGGGATGTCAGAGATCCTGATTTCAGGAGAATGGAGGGTGGGGATGGGTGAACTTACCCAGCCTGTCTGTGTTTGACCTTCCTGTCTGTTCTTGGGTGGATGGATGGACAGAAGGATGGGCCTGTGTGAGCCGGATGAGAAGGTGCTAGCAGAGAGAAACAGCCGGTGGATAGATAAGTGGGCCGACAGGTTGGTGGTGCGCTCAGGGCTGCCGCTAACTCAAAGAGCGTCTTTGTGCAAATTCTAAAAAGGCACCCTTTTCCTTTAGACTGACACCACCCTAAACCAGGGTGCATGGCTTGGGGAGCAGATGTGGGCTGGATTTTAGTTCCCACTCTTCTCCTCAGCCAGCCTCCCCGAGTCTGGCGCATCTGTCTCATTGGCCACAGCAGCCCAAGCTGACCCAGGGAAGAGAAGGCTGGAAGGAGGCAGGCAGAGAGGAAGAGGCTGTCCTCCTGCCTCCACCCCCCAACCGTGACAGGCTGGGAGGGAGGCTGAAAGGCTGCAGGGGCAGCTCAGTAGGATGAGAATGAGCTCGTCCACGATGCAGGGAAACCAACTGTAGGCGAGATGCCAGAGCGGGGGCCCTGGGGCCCTGGGGCTGGGCCTGGGAAAGGCAAAGTGGGGCCGACCACCTTCTAACAGCGGAGTGAGCTCTCACAAGTGCCCCTGCAGAGGGGGGAGGGGAGAGCAGGCCTGTGAAGGGAGGAACCAGGGGAGGCATGGAGCTCATGAGTTCACTAGAGCTGGGACCCGGGGCCCGCAGGAAACCAGAGTCAGTCTTGGGGTACAGTGAGAGGGAGTCATTCACATGGCTACTGGGTGCCAGCTGGGTCCGGGGCACTGACCCGGGCGTGTGTGGGGAGGATGGTCAGAGATCCGATTCCTATTCCGGGAATACAGCGCAGGCACGTAGGAAAGACAGAGACATATGCCTTTGGCAACTGTTTCAAACCAAGAACCTGGGCGATCTCTCTGAGTAAGGGTGGGCGGGCTCGGTGATCAGAAAGCCGAGGACTGAGTCAGACCTGGAGGGTGACCTGAGCCAGCAGTTGTGAACTTGGGTGGGCATCGGGGCCAACCTGGAGGGCTCAGGGACACAGATGGTTGAACCCCACTCCCGGAGTTTCGGACACAGTAGGTCTGGGGTAGAGACTAAAACTCTGCATTTCTAACGCGTCCCGGGTCCTGATGCCAGAACAGGGACCATTCTTTGAGAAGCCCTTCCCTAAGCAGATTGTGGGGTTCTGTCATGAAGTGGGCATCAAGCTGAGGAGTAGCTGAGGATCCTTGGGAAGGAGACTGAAATATAACGGGTGGATTGTGGTGGGAAGAAAGGGGACCCTGAAACCTAGGCTGATGAGTTTAACTCTGGACCCAGGGACTCACCCGTCAGTGAAAATGGGGCGGCAACAAGCTAGAGATGGGGTTTGGTGAAGATGAGTAGGCATAATAGAGCAAAGCAGCTGGGAGGGCTTCAGGGGGGTCCTGGGGAGGCAATGGGAACTGGAGGAGGAAGGGCGTTCAGTGACAGAGGATGGAATCCCACGTGGGACTTGAAGTAGGCTTAAATGCGGGAGAAGGTGTGAGAGAGCCGCGAGAGACCAAATATCTGGATGTGGCCTGCCGTTTGCCCAGCTGGGACAGGAGCCCCTGCAGACATGTTCCCATGCCGCGTGCACCCCCTTCCTGGCCTCATCCCAGTCACCAGGGAGGCCCTCCATCGCAGGGTGATGAAGGGAGAGGAGCAGCGAGTCAAGAAGGGGCAGAGGCGGGGGACCTGTGGGTGGTACACACATGCAAGCACACCATCCCCAGTGTTGAACCCCAGCCCTTGGCCCTGGCTGCATCCCACTCCAGACTTTAATAAAAGTCTGAACTCCTTGGTGGGGGAGCACCCCAGTGCGCTGCATTCCAGGGTGCGAAGCTGGGGTCCTGTGAGCCGCTGTGCCTCCTGGAAGCAGGACAGAGCCATACCAGCTCAGAGAGGACGTCTTTGCCTCAGATCAGGGTCACCTGGGTCACCATCAGTCAAAGATGAGGTCCCTGCACCCTGGCATCAGTCGTTCGCAAAAAAAAAACAAATGTTGGGGGATGGAACGGGGTGCGCTTTTGGTTCAGTTTGCTGAAACAGCTGGAGCCTGGATAGAAGAGAGGGGACTGTTCGTGTCCACACTTGCTCACACGGTAGTTCACCCACTAAAAATGAAGCCACCGCAGAGAACTGAGACTGGGTGGAAGGCGCCGAGACCCTGCCACCCCTCTGCTCACACTGAGCCACCACTCAGGGCCCCACTGCGTGCAGTGCGGGGAGTCTGGAGACCTGGGCTCGAGTCCTGACACTGTCACTACTTCGTTCTATGACTCCGGGCAAGTCGCGTCACTTTTCTGGGCCTCAGTTTCCCCATCTGTAAAAACAACACTTGGCAAACTGGTAATGCTCAATAAACGTTTAAATCACTGAGTTGAAAGAGATCAGAGAATCCTTAGGCAGAAACAAATTCAGAGAGCCCCAAGGGCGCAGGAGGGGGTGGGGGGCGGCAGCCAGGAGCAGGGGGTTTGGGGGGCTCCTCTGAGTGCTGTCCTCCCACCACCAGGCAGCTGTGTTCCGGGGCTTCCATTCTGCTGCTGTCAGACCGAATAATGAAGATCAGGAGGGAAAGGCTGAGGCCCCAGGGCCTGGGGGGAGGAGGCAGGTCCAAGATGAGCCTGACCAAGAGACTGAGATTGTGGAGTGGCCCAGGAACTCAGCAAAGGGGGTGCTGGGCCCTGGAAGCCCCTGCCCCACAACCTGGGAGAAGTCTGGGGCGGAGGCCGTGCTCAGCTGGAACTCACCCACTTCTCCCTTCCCGCCCCCAGCAAGAATCCCAACAGGAATCGGCTCTGCGCTGACAGCTCGGACAGCAGATGGGACCCAGGTGTCCCCTCCTGGGGTGGGTGGCATGGCCCACGGAGGCCAGATGGTGTTTGTAGGGGAAGAGCGGCCCGGCTTGTCCAGAAGAGGCTGTCAGCCCCCAGCAGCCTCCCTGCCACCCGTCCCAGCCCCCACGGCAGGGAAGACACAGCCAGCCCGGATTTTATAAAACAAGTTTATTCACATTTTAGAAAAACTAATTCTAAGACAGGGGACTGCCTCCCTTTGGGCTGGGTATGAGATCATGAATAGAAGGCCAGAGGGAGGAGCTTGGGAAGGAAGGAGTGGGGGGTCGGTGGCCACGTCCCCCACTCTGGGTGGGAGTTGGTCAAATAAATTAAAGGGAGAGCAGGCAGAGGGAGAGGGTATTCAGACACCAGAGGCAGGCTTGCGGCTGGGCTGGAAGACAGTCACACCTGCAAGAACAGGAGGGCGCGGAGAGGGGGCTAGGGAGAGCGTGACTCCCTCCTGGCCCTCGCCAGGGTCCCGCAGAGCTGAGAGGGGCTGGGTAGGGCCAGGGAGGGAGCCATTCATCTCAGGACTGGGGAAGACAGGGCTGGGGGTTCTCACCCCTCACCTGGGGTGCGAGGAATCACCGTTTCCGCAGCCTCTTCATGAAACAGCAGGTGATGGAGCCGAGGATGGTGGCTCCGATGACTAGGGCAACCCCTGCGCCCACCAGCAGGGGCACAAACAGAGTGTCCAGGGCTGGGTGAGAGAGGACGGCGCTGCTCAGCCTGGGGTGTCACTGCTCTCCACCCACAGCCCCACCCGTTTGCCAGCACCTTCTGTCAAGCTGTCCACACCAGCTCCTCCCACACACACAGTCTTCTGCCGGCTCCCTGCCCTCTCTGCACTGAAGCCAGCACCCACCACCAGGACACCGCAGCAGCTGGAGGCCGAAAGCTGGACTTTTGGAGCAGAAAGAGGGACCAGAGGGACAGCTAGTGGGAGGATCAGATGCAAAGGAGAGGACAAGAGCGGGGGATGAGGGGAGGCCTGAGCGAGGAGGAGGGCAGCCGTCACTCACCATGTGTGTATGGGTAGACGGTGACAGGCCCCGAGCGGGCACTGCCCGCCTGGTACCAGCTGTAGTCGGCGTGCTGCACCCAGGCGCTGGGGGCGCAGTGGTACACGCCCTCGTCCTCAGGCCCCAAGCCATGCAGCCTCAGCCGATGGCTTCGGGGACCCACCAGCTCCACGCTGACAGGGCCTCCGCCAGGCCGGACCCCCAGCTCCGCCACGCCGTCCTGGCCCACCCCGCCCACCAGCTGGGCAGGGGCAGAGCTCAGCTCGCCCTCCTCCGGCCGCTCCACCCACCAGCTGGCAGCAAGCCGCAGCCCAGGGGGGCCGCCCCGCACAGAGATGTTGCAGAGCAGGGAGGCCGTCTCCCCGCGGTACACGGCGCCTCCCGCTAGCCAGGCCACGGCCTCCAGCACCACACCTACACAACAGAGGTCAGAAGGTGAGAGGTCAGCGCACATGGGGTTAGGACCCCTGTCCAAGCAACCCCCCAGAAACTCATTGTTCCCACAATCCTAGGAGTGTGAGACAGATGTGGAGGCAGCTGATGGAGAGGGAGAGCACAGAAACACACAGAAGGTTCTACAGACCCCGAGTCCTGCTCAGGGCCCAGCCCACCCCTCTCACCTTCTTCCCGGACGTGCACGGGAAGGGGCCGGGAGCGGGCGCTGGCGGCTTCGCGAAGCCGGGCCCCAGACCCTCGGACGTAGGCCTTGGCTAGGCAGCGGTAGGTGCCCGCGTCCCCAGGCCGGGCAGCCTCCAGCCGTAGCCGGTAGGTTCGGGAAGCCACCTTCTCCATGGCAATGTGCCGGCCCTCATAGCCGGGGCCCAGGCTGCCCACTCCCTCCGTGTCCAGCTGGGCCACCAGGCGGCCGGGCCCAGGTGCCCCTGCGGGTGCCATCTCCCAGCCCACGGAGTACGCAGCGTGACGGCCTGGTGGGGGCAGGGCCCCCGACACGTTGCACAGCAGCTCCAAGGGCTCCCCGGGGCCGATCCGACGCTCACCAGGCCCTACCGTCACGGCCAGCTGGCTGGCTGAAACACAGGCGGGGAAGGGGTGTCAGGGAGCCAGCCGAGGGTCCTCCCTGACAGCAGGAAACTTCCACCCGTCTCCCCCACCCAGGGGCCCTCAGCCGTGGCCCTCCCACCTCCACACCTGTTTCCGAGCAGAGAAAGCCCATCACGGGTACAGATGCTAAGGGGAAGCAATGCTACGAGACTGCTCACTGGAGGGAAGGGGGGCTCCCAGGTCTCGGACCATGGCCCTCTAGTGTCCCTGAGACACTCTGGCTCCCAGCTGGCACTGGGGGACCCCAGGCACTCACCCAGCGTCTGAACGTCCACGTGCGCCAGCACAGCCCTCTTCTCTGCGATCTGGGCCCAGCTGCCATCCGGATCCTGAATCCACTCGGCGGCAGTGCAGTGGTAGGTGCCTGCATCGTCAGCCTGGGCACCGCCCAGCACCATGCGGTACCGCTCGGACCCCTCCTTGTCCAGCCGCAGCTCCCCGGCCGCCAGCCGCGCAGCATAGGGCGCTCCGGCGTCCACCGCCAGGTCGGGCCGCAGCCCCACCACTTCCTGCAGAGTCGCTCGCCCCACAGGCGCCTCGGGCACGGCTCGCCCAAAGGACACGGCCAGGTGCGTGTGCTTCTGCGTGCTGGTCCTCGCCAGGCAGCCCAGTGCCAGCTCCTGCCCCTCGTGCACTGTGAGGCGAGGGGGTGAAGTCGGGGCCTGGCGGCCTCGGGGCCCCGGGGGGCTCGCAGACACCTGCAGCAAGTCTGGAAGAACTGGAGAGAGCAGGTGGAGTGAGGCTGTGGACCTGTGTGAGCTGTTTTCTACCTACAACTTATTTCCCTAAATAGACCGTGAGATCCTAGAAGGCAGAGACTTCGTGTTGTATCATTCCTTCTGTAACCCAGCGGTGCCAAGCTCAGTGCTGGGCACACACAGGCACACAATAAATACTTGCTGAGTTTCATAGAACCAGCCCATCGCCTACTCACCCTTATGTTTGAGGCTGACCCCTGTTTGAAATACTCAGCAGAGTGGCTCTGTCTTCCTTTTCGGAAGACAAAGAAACTTAAGAGAGCAAGAAAGTCACATGGTCTCCCCTGTCCTACCCTGCCCCTACTTTCCCCACTCCTCCCCGAGATCTGGATCCTGAAAGCTCCAGGAGTGGAGTGTGTTCACGCTATGGGGCTCCCCTACCCTACCAGGGAGTGGAAAGCTTCAGGACACTTCCCCTCTCCCAGGAGCTGTGCTGTGTGCCCTCACTCAGTCGTGTCTGACCCTGTGTGATCCCATGGACTGTAGCCCGCCAGGCTCCTCTGTCCATGAGGACTCTCCAGGCAAGAAGACTGGAGTGGGTTGCCATGCTCTCCTCAATAAGAGCAGTGGACTGGAATGAAGAGTTCTGGCTTAGAGTCCCAGGCCAGTCACTAATGTGCACAAAGTCAAATTAGGGGACCTCCTTGGACCTCAAGTTCCTCTTAAGTTCCTGCCAGCCCTGACTTTCTGCCTTTTGGGAGACTGTGGCCCCACTCCCTCTCAGGGTCCAGTACCTCTCAGTTCCACTTTGCCGCTGTAGCTGCCCAGGTAGCGGGCATCAGTGGAGGGTGTGTAGCATTCGTAAATGCCAGCATCCTGGGCCTGCAGGCGGGAGATCTTGAGCACCACGGCATCGCCCTGCAGACGCTGCACCTGAACGTCACCAGCTGCCACTCGGGGCCCAAAGACGGCATAGGAGAACCGGGTGTCCCTGGTGCTGATGATGCCCAGGGCGGCCTCTGGGGCCTCAGGCCTGTACAGGAACCACTCGAAGTCCTGCTGGGCAGAACCCTCATAGCCACTGACATTGCAGGAGATGGAGACGGCGGTGCCAGCCACGCGGTACAGAGGCCCCTGAGGAACCAGCACTTCCCGGGCACAGCACCCAATTCCTAGGGGGAAGGACGAAGTCAGGGAGGCCTGGGTCCCCACTGCATCCCCCCGGCACCCACATCGTCCTTGCTGCCTGCTTGTGAAAGGAAAGGAAACCTGAGGAAACTCGGTGTACAGCTAGGGCCCCATTTTGAGAATCAGGAAAGGATGCTGGGAGGTAAGACACCTGAGTCTCAAGGAGGTGGTGGGAGACAGCCAGGTTAGCCTCAGAACCCAGAAACATCCCTGTTCCTGGCAGGCCAGAGCAGAGAACCTAAGTGCAGGACAGAGTGTGTCTGCTTTCTGATTTAACCATTCCTTGATTCCAGCTGTACCCTTCCCTTGTTACCCAACTCTCCTGTCTGCGGACCAGTTGAGCCTTCTTGCTAAGGGATCCTGAGACCCCTCCTTTGTTTAAAAGGAGCTGGAAAACCTTTGATCAGAAGGGCTGGTTGGCCCAGTTGTGTCACCTGGGCCAGCGGACTCCAGACAATGGAGCCACTGGCCCGGGCAGGAGAGGGTACAGGCCCAGCCAGTTCTCACCACACCATCCCTCCCCCCATCTCCAGCTGTGTCATGAGCTCACTGCTTCTCCGCCCCTTGGGGCTGCCGAGGCAGCTGAGGCTCATGGGGCAAGAACCAGCCTCTGCCCTGGGCTCTGGGGGCAGAGGCTCCCCTCCCCCTCCCGTGCCTGCCAACCTTCCCGAAGGCCCAGCTGACACACAGTCCCCCCCCACCCGACCCCACCACTCCCTAAACAAAAGCCTTAATTTGCATATAGTGTGTGTTCATTTACATACTGCTCCCTTTCAGTAGGGAGGCTGTAACCACCACCGCCCGCCCCCAGGGTTGTCCCCTCCCATCTTTCTCTCCTCAGGGAGGCCAACACTCTTCTTCACCCCATCCTCACCCCTAGCCTGCCCTCAAAGAGTAGCCTGTGGCCTTGCAGGGCTCAGCCTCTTCTCTCCTTCTGTCTTTCCACAGCCCCAGATCACAGAATCTCAGGACACAAGGAGGGCTGGGTCAACTCTCTACCTCCATCTTACAGATGAGAAAGGTAAGGTATGAGAAGCAGAATGTCTTGGCCAAGTTCCTCCTATCCTTGGCTGGCCCCCATGTGCCCCTGCAGAAGGACAAAGCCAGGGAGGCAATGGGGAGAGACTAGGAGCGGCCTGAGGGCAATGGCCTCACCCAGCAGAGCCTCACTCCAGGGACATACCCCAACCCTTCTGCAGGGGCGGGAGGAAAACACCTAGTCTGTAGTCAGACAGTCCTCCAGAAGCCCTCCCCGTAACTGTCTTCTCCCTGCGGCTGAGTCGTGGGAGAACTCGTGGTCGCTCGGTTACAGCACAGGCTGGGAGGTGGAAGTCGAGTTCCAGCCCCATGCCCATCCCCGGCTGTACTGTGTGGACTAGCTCCTTCCACGCTACACTGGAGGAGAGCTAGAAGCTTCCACTTTGACAGGGAGAGAGCCTGTCTGTGACTCAGAAGGGCCCTGCCCCAGGGCATTTCATAATCAGCGTGATGGAGCTGACACCTTCCCTGGCCTCAGGGCAGACTCTGCTCAGGAGGGCCCCCTCCCATCTTCCTGGCTCCACAACTGCTGATGCTTGGAGATCCCCATGGGAAAGTCACCCTCACTGCCTTGGGAAACCAGCTGCCAGGCAGCTCTCTCCCCAGCCAGGCCCCCTCCTCTGTGTTAGCAGAGAAGGAAAGGAGAGCAAAGAGACCTGCTTCAGGTCTCCCTGGTGTGGGTTCAAATCCAAGCCCAACACACTCGATGTGTTCTCTGGGCAAGTTATTTCATTTTCCTCACCTTCAAAATGAGAGTCAGTGTCCACATCCAGGGCACTCAGATCCCACAGACTCTCTTATCTCTCTGCACCACACTTACCCTGGGCTCCGCTCTGCGCCAAGCTGCCCACTGGGGAAAAGAGGCCCCGTGCTAGGTAACCGGGGCCCACAGCTCCCTCCTCTGTATGTCCTCCTGCCTCCCGCCTGGGGCCCCAAGGAGAGGACTCATTCTAGTCCCACAGGGCCCGGGGACCTGTGCAGCACAGGGAGGCCACTTGGCTCTGAGATGGAGCGCTGGTCTGGAAACAGGCAGCCGGGGCTACGTCAGCCTCTGCCTTAATGATGGCAGCTCCGAATCCGGGCACCAAAGCCACCCTCTCGCCGCCCTGTGTTCCGATTTCAAGGGTTGCAGTCTCCTGAGTCTGTGTAGGCAGTCACTGTCCCATCCTCCTCCCCAGGCCAGCCCTGCAGGGAGCCCTCCAGTTCACACCCCAAACATTGCCGCTGTCACTGCCCTCATAGCATCTACGCAGCAGCGGTCCAGACAGCCCATCGCGAACACCCACCACAACAGACACGGGGTGCTTGGGGACCTCAGCATCAGTCTCCAGGGAGCCTGGTTTCTCCTGAGGCAGGGAGGCTGGGACTAAGGGGGTGTGACAGCTGGTGGGAGACTACAGAGACAAGTGCTATCTGAGAGACCCGGTCCAGGGTGAGACTGAGACGTCAGATAATGAAGGTGGAGAGGGGGGTGCAATTAGGGGAGACTTACTTCAAAAGATCGTGGGCAGAACGGGCCCTTGGGCCTCCAGCCAACTCGGGCGATTATGAAGATGGCCAGGCACTGCCCACGCAGGGCGGGTACCTAAGGCCGGGCCTGAAGCTGAGGGTGAGGCAGACAGGAGTCGCAGCGCCCCCAGGACCTGAGTGTGCCAGCAGGGAAGCGGGACCCGGCCCCCGGAGGCCTGGCGGTCCCTGGGGACCGCACTTTGCTGGGTCCGCACTGTGTCCCAGCCTAGGGCCTAGAACCGGGGAGCCTCACCCCACCCCCAAGACTGGCTAGGCCGGCGGCCACAGAGGGCAGCTGGGCGCCAGGCCCGGGAAGGCTGGAGGCGCCGCTGAGAGAGAAGGGGCTACCAGGGGCTCCGAAATGCTGGGGAGTCGGCAGGGCTGAATAACACATAGCAGGCACCTGCCGGGCGGGGCTGGGAGCCGGGGCGAGGGGCCGGGCTTACCCAGCATTAGCAGCAGCGGCAGCGGCGGCGGCAACTTGGGACCGAGGGCGCCCATCCTGCACAGCCGGCTCTGGGAAGGCTCTGGGGGGCGGCGCGGGCTCTGGGTGACCAGGGGTTCGGGGGGCGCATGCCCGGGTGGGGGTCACGAAGCGGAGTTGCGAGGCGTGGGTGCGCGGAGCGGAGCTGAGCTAAGCGGGAGCAGCCAAGTCCCCGCCCTCTTCCCTCCTCCCTCTTCCCTCCTCCTCGCCACCTCCTACTGCTTTCCCTCCCGCCTAGGCTACTAGGAAGACCGTTCCCGCCCCGCCTTGCCCCGACCCCGCCCAGCCTTGCCCAGGCCCCGCCCCGGCCCCAGGCTGCGGGCCCCAGCCTCGCCCCGCCCCGGTCCCCAACTCCGCCCCAACCCCTTCCGACCCTGGCCCGCTCGGGTCCCCGGGTTTGTCCCGACAGGGTCCTGGACTTGGGCCCCGGCTCCGCCTGCCCCGGTCTCCACCCCGACCTCAGCCTAGGCCCAGCCCGGGTGCGGCTCGGGAACTCGGCTCCGCCCAGACCGGCCCAGGCCCGCCCCCCTCAGCCCTAGCTCCGCCCCGACCCCGGTCCGCGGGCGGGAGGCACCGGAGCTTGGCCAAGTCCCCATAAGCTCCGCAGAGTGCACAGGTGCCCTGCTCCTTCCGGATTTTCTCTGAGAGTTAGATGCTGAGGCCCCGGGATGGGCGAGGTGGCTGTGCCTTCGCTCTTAGAACCTGGCTGTTTGCTCTGGACCTCTAAGCCTCGCCGCAAATCCTGCTGAAACGGGAAAGGGCGGGATCTAGGCCTTGCGGAACTAGGAGGATCTGAGCTGAATGAAGGGCGCTACCGGGCTCCACTGGGTCACTGATGACCTGTTTGCCACCCTCTCGGGGCAGAACTAGAGGAAGAGGGTTAGGAGGCTGGGCCGTCTGGGTGCCGTCACTTCCTGGCCGGCAATCCTTGTCGAGTTGCTTAACATCCTTCCACTTTTCTTGCTGGCAAATTGAAATGGATGACATCCACCCCAAGGGAATTTTGTGACAATTGAGCTAATGTACAGAAAGTGTTTGGCACAGAATACACTAAATAGGAGATGCTGCTGCTGCTGCTGCTAAATCGCTTCAGTCGTGTCCTACTCTGTGCGACCCCATAGATGGCAGCTCACCGGGCTCCCCCGTCCCTGGGATTCTCCAGGCAAGAACACTGGAGTGGGTTGCCATTTCCTTCTCCAATGCATGAAAGTGAAAAGTGAAAGTGAAGTCGCTTAGTCGTGTCCGACTCAGCGACCCCATGGACTGCAGCCTACCAGGCTCCTCTGTACATGGGATTTTCCAGGCAAGAGTACTGGAGTGGAGTACCATTGCCTTCTCCGAAATAGGATATGGGGGAGGGGTAAATTATTTAAACCGTTTGCTAAGAGATTTAGTTCAGACCTAAAAAGGGGGTGATCCTGGGGTTTAGGTGAAGTAGTCTCTAGTTCCAGTGAGGAGAAATGGGTGCTGGAGAAGATGCTTGAGAGTCCCTTGGACAGCAAAGAGATCAAACCAGTCAATCCTAGAGGAAATCAACCCTGAATATTCATTGGAAGGACTGATGCTGAAGCTGACACTCCAATACTTTGGCCACCTGATGCGAAGAGCTGACTCATTGGAAAAGACCCTGATGCTGGGAAAGATGGAGGGCAGGAGGAGAAGGGGGCAACAGAGGACAAAATGGTTGGATGGCATCATCAACTCAATGGAAATAAGTTTGAGCAAACTCTGGAAGATAATGAAGGACAGGGAAGCCTGGCACACTGCAGGTCCATGGAGTTGCAAAGAGTTGGACTCGACTGAGCGACTGAACAGCAGCAGTAACTGCAGTGGGAGGGGTGGAGCCTGCCCAGAGGTGGGAGAGTGGGAAAGTCATCTTTCCTAGGTACTCTGTCTCTTTCTGTACAGTGGAGAACATGGGAAGTGGGGAGGAACAGGAAGGGTGGGGCCAGACCAGGAAAAGGGACAACCAGGTCTGCTAAGCTGAGGCTGTCAGAGTGGCCATCCATAGGGGGTGGCCCCAAAGCTCACCTAGCACCTGCATCCTCAGACTTTCATCTGTTCCCACTCACTCCCCCCAACCCTTCCTTTCACTCCTTACTCCCTTTTACAGAGGAGGAGATGGAGGCCCAGCGAGGGGAAGTGGCACAGGCCAGACGACCGTCCTTGGCTTTGTCTTCTCAGAGTCTGGCATAGAGTCTAGATCAGAGGAGGTGCTCAGTTGAAGCCACATCAGGAACCTTAGAGAGACTGGAGAAATTCTGAGGCAGAATCCTGGGGACCACTGAATCAGAGGTCCAGCCCTCCCCTCTCAATACTTCCAGTTCTGCCCCAAGAATAGGGCAGCAGGGTGCCTTTTCCCTCACACTTTATCATATCTACAGCCTGATATCCAGACTCAGTTTATCTAAATGTATCCACAGGCCAGATTGAGTTATGTGAAAAGTGAAATGTGTCGGGAAGCTTTTGGAGAAAAGCTACGCCTTTATTTGGGCGTAGAGTGGACATGATGCCTTTCTGATGCTTGAGAGATGAGAGATGTTGCCAAACATCATTATCATCATAGATGCAATTTATGGGACATGTTGATCTTAAAGATAACAAGGTCTTAAGCTACAAAAATGAGTTTATCCAGGAATAGCAGAGGAATTACAATTCAAGAGACACAAACTATGCTGAACCATAGGCATGTTGGAGAAAATAAAGAGAAGCTCAGCTTTCATAAGGAGGAGCTTTTATTTTAAGGAGGAAGTGAGGGGGCAGATCTCGTTTTCATTTTCTGCAAGTGGTGAACAGCTTGTCACTGCTGAGTCAGAAGGAAACCGATTTTTCTGTTTGGGATCTGTAAGCTATAGTCAGTGTTATGTATATAAGAGCCCTCTCTTCATGGCTTCCTGACTCTATTTGGACTTTAGGTTTCCTTTGTTCATTTTCATATTTTCCCCTTTTGATCAAAATATTCCTTGAAAGTGTCGTGTTGAGTCAACATTCTATTTGGTGCTTTGTCTCTGCAGAGGTTGGACAGGCAACAGTTGTAAAAATTTTTTTTTTAATTTTTAAATTATACAAAGCAAAATTAAAAGTGGCTTTGTTTGTATGATGCATTTAAATCATGACCCTAAAGTAGTCAACTGACAAATAGCAAGTATACTACTTCCCAATCTTGTATAGATGACTTTCTCCTTCTCCAGAGGCATTTATCCATGGGCAACAGGTGGTATCTGCTAATGCCACCTTGTTCGGAGTCAAGGCTATTGATTATCTACAACTACTTTAGCCAGGAATTCAAGTGATCATTGTTAGGCTGCAGAATCAGCTAGCTCTCCTAACTAGGGAGAGATTTATATTCGTATGCTCATTGGCATTTTGACCCAAGAGAGATAGTGGGCCCAGAGTCATGTATGGCCCACGTAGCTTCCACTTGAGATGCTTGTGAAGGTTTAATGGGGAAGATCAGTAGGAAGCTTCAGATTTATTATAGATATTAAGAGGGATGATGAAATATCCCAATAAACTCTGGCCTCCCATTTACCAGCTGTCCAAATATTCACAGACTCATTGAGAGTTTCATTTACCACAGACAAAGCTAAAGGCAGGTGGTGCACATAAACTTATTAATAGTGCCACTAGCTGGAATTTGTCAATTGGTCCTTTAGAGCCAAGAGTCAGTGTGTTTGAGGGATATTTAGGGAGAAACCATTCCGTTCTGTAGATTTCATCACTAAAGCCTGCAAAAAAATGGGGGGTTTATTTTGTTACAGCAGTCAGACTTAAGATAATACTAGAGGGTCACCACTGTCATGGACATGCTGAGGTTTCTGGTACAAATCTGACAACTGGAAAGTTCTTCCTCTTTGGCAATGGATTGGGAAGTATGGGTAAGAGCATTGTCTTTCCAAGAAAGACAGGGAGAAGATAAGGCAAGAAGTAACAGTAGGGAAAAGATGTACAGGCTAGTCATATTGGGAAAGCTGTTTCCTTCACCTATTGTACGCTTCAGTTCTTAAAAATCTTTACTTTTAGGTCACCAGCTGGGGTGTAGGTCCAGTCAGGGTTTGGTGCTTTCTTTAGATATGACACATGGATCCAAGAGCCTATTCCTTGGGAGTTTCATGGCACAACGGTTGGTTAACAGTACTTGATAGTGGCCTTTCCAGTGGGGTTGAAGAGAGTCTTTCTGGAGATGTCTTTTCCAGTAGACAAATTCTCTAGGTTGTAAAGTGTGGTGCTTAATGTCTTCATGCCCCAGGAGCATGCCATTATTGTGTTAATATATGGTTAAATATAGTTTGTGGGCTCCAAAAGGAGTGTCCCTAAGGTTCAGAAGAACCAATGGCAATGCTTTTGGCCAGGGGTCTCTACAAAATTTTTTATTTTTTATTTTTTATTTTTAAATTTATTTATTTATTATTGGCTGTGCTGGGACTTCATCGCTGCATGGGCTTTTTCTACTTGTGGCAAACAGGGGCTACTCTCTAGTTGCAGCGCACAGGCTTCCCATTGCAGTGGCTTCTTGTTGCAGATCAAGGGCTCTAGGGTGTTCGGGCTCAGTAGTTGTGGTTCCCAGGCTCTAAAGCACAGGCTCAATAGTTGTGGTGCACAGGCTTGGCTGCTTTGCAGAATGTGGGGTCCTCCCAGACCAGGGATCACACCCATGTCTCCTGCATCGGCAGGAGGGGAGCCACCAGGGAAGCCTTCCTATTGGTTTTTTTTTTTAATTGTTTAAAATTTATTTATTTTTGGCTGTGCTGGGTCTTCATTGCTGCATGGGCTTTTCTCTAGTTCGGGGGGCTACTCTAGTTATGGTGTGTGGGTTTTTCATTGCGATGGTTTCTCTAGTTGCAGAGCACGAGCTCTGGGGTGAGAGGGTTTCAATAGTTGTGGCACATGGGCTTAGCTGCTCCTCGGTATGTGGGATCTTCCCAGACCAGGAATCAAACCTGTGTCTCCTACATTGGCAGGCAGTTTCCCTACCACTGAGCCACCAGGGAAGCCCCTCCTATTGGGTTTTGATGATGCCATTGGTGCATTTAACTAGTCCTGAAGACTGGGGATAAGTGCAGTGAAAATGGTGTAGAACTGGTCAAACAGCACAGACTTCTTGTTGCACTTGACCAGTAAAGTGAGTTCCCTAGTACTAGGAAGTCTGGGGGTGGTTTCCTCAGGTAGGAATGATCTTT